AGTGATTTTAAACAGCTGATCGGCGGTTCTCTATGGCGATCTTAGCTGGACGGTGAGGTATTTCCCCATTGGAACACATTAACCGGTTTTCAATGCATTCCAATGGTTTTTTCCCCCCCGCCTCCAATGATTTCGCTTAACAGCGATTTTCCTGGAACGGATTAACATCATCAAGCAGGGCACCACTGTATTGACATTCCTGAAGAGTCACCTGATGATAATGTGAGATAGGCCTTCTCAGTGGCTGCTCCCAGATCCTTACTTCCTCCCAAGGAAGCCAGTCTGTTTCAATTTTTGTTGTCCATTCGCTGACAGGCAAAAACATCTTTATTCAAACAGACTTTGTGTTGTTAGATATAATTGTTGCTTAATTGTATTTTGATGTATTCTTTTTCTTTTCTCTCCACTTCCCCCCTTTTTAAATAAAAGAATGACTGGAATTCTATTGGTGATTTATGGGAGCATTAGTTATATCAACTAATTCACTGTGGCAAATTGCCAGTAATTAAATAAACAACAAAAATAAATATTAAATAATAATGAAGCAGAATTTGGAAAGGCAGGATGCTGTAGTAGACATCTAATGGAACTGTGGAATTTGGAGGGGGCTGATTCCCTCTTCCTGCAGCAGCTCCTCAAAATGAGGTCTGGAGGGTGGGTGAGAAAGCATCTAGAGGAAGATTTAGAGTAATGTGAAAGTCTGCAGGAGAAGAAAGTTTGGCAAGGAAAATACCTTTAAAAAATATTTTTAGCTCATTACCAAACCCCACAAGTTTGGTAATAGTAACAACTTACTAGCATTAATGAGCCAATTCATTGTGCAAATTCTTGCAAAGCTCCCAAATAATCTATTAGAGTGTTGGAGAAAAGTTTTCAGTAAATAGTTTTGTTGCAGCTTTTGAAGGTGAATGTTTTGTTACCTTTTCATTGCTTTTTATTATTATGTACTTCCCATCACAGCCCTGATGGGCTTTTTATGGTATGTGAGATGTTCAAGGAATAGTTTAAAATGGTTTACCCATGCCATCCCAATAAGTTTTGTGACCAAGCAGGGATTTGAACAGAAATCTCAGGAATCTTGTTTCAACAGTCTATCCCTTAGCAGTGGTACTCAAATGTCGCTCCCCAAATGTTCTTGGACTGCAAATCCCAGAGATCCTAGCCAGTACTAGCAAGTGGTGGAGGTGTTTAGGAATTGCAGTCCAGTAACATCTGGAGACCCCAGTTTGAGAATCACTATGCTAGACCATGCTGGTCCTATAATATTTAACAAAAAAGTAGAAAAGTTGTCTGAATTTTTTAAAAAAATCTTTAAAAATAAAAGAAAATATGTAGCCTGAAAGGCATTACGAGGGGATGCTGATAAGTACTGTATTGAGCCTTTCCCAGAAAAAAATTGAGCTAGGAAGCTATAAATTGCAGGCTATATTGGCCAATTTGTCTATATTCAACGGTGCAAAAATCAACTATGTTTTTTAAACTTATCTTTCATGTTCAGATTCAAACTGAACATGGCAGCACCTCCAAAAAAGTTCAGTGTGGAAGAGCATAGGACCATAATCAAGTTCCCGTTTCTCCAAGGGAAAGATTCAAAGCAGATCCATGATGAAATGTCACAAATTATGGGTGACAGTGGCCCTTCATATGCAACAATTAAAAGTTGGCTTGTCAGTTTTAAAACTGGCCATTTCCGGAGAAACCCAGTGGAAGCCCTGTTTCTGTCTCTGTGCCTGCAAATGTAAAAGACATCCATCACATGATCATGGAGGCCCGCCGAATATCAGCCAAAAGTATTGCTATATATCTGAGAATATCACGTGAGAGAGTTGGTGCCATTATCCACAACAACTTGGAAATGAGAAAGCTGGAAGCAAAGTGGATCCCCAAACTTTTGGCAACTGAACAAAAGAGGAAACGTCAAGTCATCGGTGGCTGTTTTGGAACAGTTTGCAAGAAATGAGTCAGATTTCCTGGACAAACTGGTAGCTAGTGATGAAACATGGATCTACTATTATGATCCTGAGACAAAGGAACAGTCTAAGGAATGGAGGCACAGTGGTTCCCCCAGGCCAAAGAAGTTCCAGGTGCAAAGGGCGGCGCAGAAGCAAATGGCAACAGGTTATTTGGGATAAGAAGGGAGTTCTGCTGGTGGACTACATCCAACAGGGTTCAACCATCAATGCAAAATATTACTGTGCTTTATTGATGAAGTTGAAGCAAAACATTAAGGAAAAACGGCGAAAGCTCTCCAAAGGTGTCATCCTGTTGCATGACAACACCTTGTCACACACTGCAGGTAAAACAATGACAAAACTGATCTCCTTAGGCTTTCAAGTGGTGCTCCATCCACTCTATTCTCCTGACCTGGCTCCTTCTGACTATTATCTGTTCCCCAAACTCAAAAAAACACCTAAAAGGACAACGATTTGGGAGTGTTCTGGAGGCATCTAATGCTGCAAATGAGTGCTTACACCAGCAGTTGGAAGAATTTTATTTGCAGAGACTAAATAAGCTGCAGAACTGATGTCGCAAGTGCATTGACCTCCTGGAGAAATATGTAGAATAGTGTGGCAGTTACAGCTTCCTAGCTCAATTTTTTTCTGAGAAAGGCTCAATACTTATCAGCACCCCCTCGTAATACATGTGCTGGTAAACAATAACAGTTGTTAATGTACGTATATTTTAAAAAGAAGCATTGTTATGTCCTCATTGCTCTAAAAAGTAATGATGAACAGAGAATGCTGTTACTTTATTTCTTGTGAGCTCTAGCCTCAAACCTTTTTTATGCAATCCTGTACATTTTACTGAAGTGTAAGTCATTGTGGAAAAGAGGCATGTCAGTGAAGTATTTCCAAAACAACAGGTTTTTATGTCCATTGCATTTAGAAGAAACACAGGAAAGTAGCAGAGTACAGAAAACCAACTTATGCTTCTCTATTCAGAAATGAAGGAACTGAATTCGCTGCAAATCTTGAGAGCATTCAGAATCTATCTTGAGAATATCTAAAGTTGCACATAATAGCAGAATGAAAAACACAGCGGTGCAGGCACATTCTTCTCTTCCAGTTCTCCATTCACAGGAAGAAGAAAGCTGTAAAAGTTACATTCAAAAAGTAATAGTTATGTTGAGAAAGGCATGAAGTTAGCCTTTGCTAGGTTGTATAGGATTTCAACTGGGACTGGTGGTACCAATTGCCTGGCTTTTATTAATTTCCTACCCAGTTCCATGGCTCCTGAAGGCCTTCTAGGATGAAAGGGATCCTTAGGGATGCCTGAAACCTGGTGGTGGTGGTGGGGATAGAATACGTTTGTTTCAAATGGCTGCAGCATGGCCTTGGCTGATCATGTCATCAGAGTTGTGTGGCATAACTTCTGCAACAGGACTTGGATCAGTGTGACTAACTGCAGATTAGATTTTATGCTCGTGACATGTTTCTGGGAAGGTGGATAAAAATCAATGATTTTTTTTAAAAAGAAGATTGATTGAATTTTAAAAATTCAATTTTAAAATTTAAATTGTAAAAAAATCAGGTTTTTAAAATTTAAATCATGTTTTAAATCAATTTGATTTAAATCAAATCCAACCTGGTTCCCAGTGTGATGCTTGAAACTTTACAGATATTGTACTAATTCCCTATTACTGGGTCAGAAATATGTGTGTGAGAAGGAAAGAGGGGGAAAAGGTAACTTTTCTTCACTAGATATAATCTCGAAAGTATTGTTTTGCTACATCAGGGAAAGATCCAGAATTCTGTTTCCAACAGTGGTCAGTAAGATAAACAAGTTCATAAGCAAAGCATGATTCTGATAATTATTGCTTGTTATTGGTTCTCATTATGTAATTGTTATGAATGTTTTGAACATTCAGGCTCCACATAAGTAATAGCTATGATACCTTTGTATTTCTTGGACTGCAGTCCCCAGAATTCACCAGGAATCTCCCCAGCCAGAATTCTGGGAGCTTCAGCCAAGAAATCCAAGTTGACAGGTATGTTTTCAAACTTTTCATTTCTTATAAGTGGTCCAGTAAGCATAGAGCTCCACAGAAATAACAAAGGGTTATAGGACTGGTACCTTTTTGAGAGATATACAGCCTAATGGGCATAGACATTAAAAAAAACTCCCATAATATCTCACAACTTCCATGGACATATCGCGGCCATTCCCTTCACTATGATTTTGTTGTCTCTAGGTGCCTATGGAGAACTTTCTGGAGGAGCCTCTTTGTGGGTGTATAATTCAAATATCTGAAACTCAATCTTCACCAAACTTGGAGGGATTGTAGAGGAAAGTCAAAGGAAGCCTCCACAAAATTTTAGTGTCTCTGGGTGCCTGGGGGGCTGTTTTATAGCCAAACAAATAGAAAAATAATCACTAAAATTAATTGATTCATTGGGGCATTGATTTGTATGAATATGAATTAACAGTTTTTAAACAAATTGGGTGATTCATTTTTAATTCATGCCCATCTGTACCCTGTAAGTAATAGAAAGTTTGGAAACTCTTCTTTTGACTTTGATTTCCTGTCTGGAGCTCCCAGAATTCTGATTGGGGGAATTCTAGGGACCCAAGAAGTAGAGAGGTAACATGCTTACTAGCTGGCCCTCCATGTAATAGCCTTTGGCAAACCTGTCATCTGTGAATTTATCTAATCCTTTTCTGAATTGTTGGCTGTTCTTTATCTTGTGGTAGAAAATTTCATAGGTAATTTGTGTTGTACAAAGTTTTATCTTTCTGAGTGTTCTTTAATGCCAGTCACTTTAACTGTTAGGTTTTCTCAATTTTTATTTGGAAAACTATTACAGTGATAGAATGAAGTACAGTATAGCCAACTGTTGCAGTTATGGCCATCTGTTCCCTTTTCAGAAAGTTGGTTGCTGTGGAAGTTTTCAGAATTCAGCAAATATTAACTTAACTTTTCACATTGTATGGAAGCTTTTTGTCTCCTGAAGTATAAATTTGTTCACAATCAATCTTAATATGCTTCCTCTCTTCCAAAGCTTCACCACTGCTGTTGTATGCTAATCGGCGTGATCTACGATTGGTGGATGCTGCCCAAGTGAATGACAATGCTACAGTTGTGGTAGGTGGCTTAGAAGATGCAGCTGCTGTGGACTTTGTCTTTATCCATGGCTTGATATACTGGAGTGATGTAAGTGAAGAAGCCATTAAACGAACAGAATTCAACAGAACAGGGAGTGTGCAAAATGTGGTTATTTCTGGACTTTTGTCACCTGATGGAATAGCATGTGATTGGCTGGGTGAAAAACTGTATTGGACAGATTCTGAAACGAACCGGATTGAAGTTTCCAATTTAGATGGATCGCTGCGAAAAGTTTTATTCTGGCAAGAGTTGGATCAACCCAGAGCAATTGCCTTAGATCCTGCAAGGGGGTAAGTAGTTTGGTTTGCTTTGGTTTTGTATCTGTATTTCTTTGCTGCCAACCTTTTCCTGCTCTTCAGAGATTCCTAGGGGAAACTATTTTGCAGTTATATCAGCAGTTTTGAAGAGCTAAAGTCCTGGTCCACTGCAATGATATTTACAAGTTCACTCTGTTTCCCTACATCTACAACAGATGTATCCCTACATCTGTTGCAAAAAGACTGTCTAGTTTTTGGATGACTGAAATATAGGTGGGAGTAAGAATCACTGATGAACAGAAGGAATTGTATTTACACATGAAATATATACAGTACTTCATCAATGTAAGCTTTAGACTAGTAATTTTCAAAAATGTGTTTCATTGAATACATTTTTAGTATTTAGAGTTAAGATCAAAGTTTTATCAGATTATCAGTAACAGCTGACATGCTTATGTTAGTCCTCACCCACAAACAGGATATTCCAGCCTCTTGGAGTCACATTTTGTTGTGGAATTCACAGAAGCACACCTGCAAGGTAGATGCTTTCCAATACCGCCACTTGAAGAGTTGTAAAATTTTCCAAATTTTAGCTGCCATCTAGTTTATTTTTACAGATAAAGAATACTAAGAACAAAAATAGTCTAGCAGAGGTATGACACTATCAGTGGAGTACTTTTTTGTCCTAGTCTATATAATGTATTGGGACAGAAAATGTCCCATACAATTTTTTGACAAACCATGGTCTGAGAAACAAAAGCAAATGTCTGTGTTTGTCAGTAGATTGTCCCCATGGAAAATTGGAGTTCTTAATGAATTCAAGAAATACAAAGCATGGGATTTAATCTAACCCTTCTGCAATCCCTCAATACATTGAAATTTTCATTGAATCAGAGAACATTCTAGAACTCATGGTGAAATTTTCGGCTAAGCAGTTTGATTAAGGGTTAAAGATAGCTTCTTCATGGATAATTTATCTTATGTTGTAGGCTTGTGTGTACACTAGAGGCATAGGCTCATTTTATGTAGGTTGGCAGTAATTGATAAAGCTGTGTGAAATGAGTGTGTTCCTTAGCGCATACTCTCAACTCATATGCATGTACAAATATTTCTGGGCATATCATTTAAGAGGAAAGTGTTCTCTGACACTAGTTGGGTTGGAGGTTGATGTCCTCATATTTTTGAAAGTTCACTGGTGTAATTATTAGTGATTCTATGAGAAATAAAATCAATAAAACTTGCTTTGCCTGTTTTCAAATAGATTTTGGTGTTTTTAGCACACTAGCCCTTCTTCATGAGTTTTTAATTAGAATAGGATATAAAATTTTATGGCTTCCCTGAGATTTTTAAGTATTGCCAGTAGTTCGTTAGTAATGTTTTCTGAGCTACCCTCAATTTTTCCTCTCATATCTTCACTTCATTATCGTTTTGAAACTGAAGTGATTTTGGCAGGTGGAATGCCAAGTTACTGAAATCCACTTGAGATGATGTAGAACGGTCTACTGCTGTCGATGAATGAATGTTTACCAACTCTTGTGAACTTCGTGTTAAAGGCATCATGGCTATGTAATTTTTCAAGTACACCTAACAACAGCATTGTATAACTGTGCTGCATGGAAGGAAATTTCATAAATCTAAGTGGAACTTCTTTTCAATTAAACATTAAAACGGTGAAAATTACCGCATTTTTCACTCCATAAGACGCATCTTTCCATAAGACGCACCAATTTTTTAGGAGAAGAAAACAGGAAAATATAATCTGTTTTCTTCACTCCATAAGACACACAGACTTTCCACCCCCCTGTTTTGTGGGGAAAAAGTGCGTCTTATGGTGCAAAAAATACGGTAATTTTGCTTTGTATTGGATATTCACTCCATTTTTTCCATGTTTTCTTTGTATGTTCTAGTAGTGTATATATTAAGAGCAAGTCTTGGTTGCTGAAGATTAGAATAATTATTCCTGCAATGTCTTAACATTTCTGCATAGGACCTCATTTATTTCACAAAAAGAGGGTGCAAAACTGTTTTGTCACTAGGATATCTATCTAGCTGGCAAACTACTGACTGTCACAATTTTTGGAATTTCTGTTCCTCCTCTTCCTGGTCAAAAGAAAAAGAAAGCTGTTCCTGCTTTCTGTCATTAAGGTAAGGTTCCCCTTGACATTTAGTCCAGTCTTGTCTGAATCTAGTGCTTATCCACGTTGCCAAGCCGTAGAGCCAGCCAGGAGCTGGGACATGTAGATTCGATCTTATGACTGTTAGTCTTCTGACCCAGCAACACAGAGGCTTCTGCTGTTTAACTCGCAGCGCCTCCACATCCTCAGCGCCACCACGTCTTTATATAAACCCTACCCCAAATTAAGCCCTAGTTAAGTGAAAGCCCACCCTCCGCCATTGTGCAGACACCAGAAGAAGATGACATGACTGTATTTGAATAAACGTAGATTGTTGTACATGAAAAAAATAAATAAAACATACCCTGAAAATAAGCCCTAAATTAATATTTATTTATTTATTTATTAAACTTGCATGCCGCCCATCTAGAGAATGTCTACTCTGGATGGCTCACAGCAATTAAATTTAAAACAATTAAAATAACAACAATATCACAACAATAGAAGGTCAAGTTGTTTCAGGAATAATACTTAAGCACATTCTTAAAGTTACACCAAGCTTAATCTCTTCTATCTTAATTAATACAGGTCACACTTTGACTAATGACTCCTTAAATACTTTCTCTTTGCCTCAGACCCAAACTCTGTCTCTGACTGAACTAACTAGACTCTGACTCACCCCTCCATTCTAGTTTCTCTGGCTCTGCCTCCCAACAGCTCTCATTGATAAATGTCAACAATCGTCTACCTGAGCCAAAGCAGGGTGATTCCTACATACCTTCCCCCTTAATAAATTTGTTTTATGAGGGGAAACCTAACAGTTTGCCTTCATAAACAAACACCTAAGTACATGCAAGTATAACAGTAACTTACCAATACTTATGCATACCTTAAAATGCCATTTTCTCTCTATTATTATGTTTACCAAATCGAACTTACCACTTTGAACATCCAAGACAATTAATACACCCAGAACATTTGCATTAATCACATTCATACAAATCACATTGCATCAGCTTCACATCAATAAAGCTACTCACCGTTATTTTTACCATCATTCTAGACCTCTCAGTTCATCAACAACCAAACAAACTTTGCACTTTAATCATATTTCATAACTCTTACATAAACAGAACATTTAATACACTATCACAAACTTGGTTTATCCACCCATTAGTCATTTGGCTTTCGAGAAGATATCAGCATCCATGCTCTGAGTCCCTTTTACGCAGCAGATTACAAAATCAAAGTCTTGCAGGTTCCGTGTCCATCTTGCAAGGTTACTGTTAGTGGATTTCATAGTTTGTAGCCACATCAGAGAGATAGGGTTGGTGCAAAGGAGGAATTTCCTTCCCCAAATGTAGGGCTTCAGTCTTTGCAGCGTCCAAACTATTATAAGACCCTGTCTTATTTTCGGGGAAACAGGATAGAAAACAAGAAGAAAGTCAAAAGTATACATATCACATAACAGCCAGTAAAGAAAAAAAAATGTACTCTTATTGACAGTGAAGATGTATGCAATATTTACAGTCAAGCCTCGACTTACGAACGTCCCTAGTTACAAACATTTGGAGTTATGAACAGCTCCGTTAGCAAAAATCTGGATCGACTTGCGAATGGAGCTTCAACCTATGAACGAAAAAAGGCAGGGAAAAAGGGCAGGGAATTCAAACTGTTGGTGGCAAGGAACCTGCTAGTTTGTAGCTCTTTCACCCCAATGGTTAGAGCAGGGGGTCAGGGAACTTTTTTTACTTCAGGAGGAGGAAGCCAGTGCACTCCCTTCCCATCCCTGGCATGGGTCTACTCGTGAGTAAGTGCCACAGAAAGGGCTGGTCTACTCATGAGTAAGTGCCACCAAAGGCGCAGCAGTGGAGGTAAGGTTCTGCTTTTTCCTTTTAAAAAAGTTGATCTGGGTGGGTTTTGGAGGATAGGTTTGGGCTGGGGGTTTATGTTTGATCTGGGTGTTGTTTTTTGTTTTTTGGTGTGTTTTTTGGCAATGCCAGCGTGGGACTTGTGCCAATGTTTATTTCAGGATTGGTTTGTTTTTGGTTTTGGTTTTTTTGCAGTCCCAGTGTGGAACTTGCAGTGTTTTATTTTTTATTTTTATTTTTTGTCAATGTGTTTTATTTTTATTTATTTTTATTAAATGGAGGGTGGTGCAAAAGGCCAGGCCATCCGAGAAGGAGCTGCTGAGGTCTCGGACCTCCAAGCCAGAGTAGCCCTTGCATTGGCAGCGGCACAAGACCTTCAGGGCGCTGCGTGGACCCGACATCAGGGGGAGGAGATGAGGAGCTTCCAGGCTCAGGGAGCTGTTGCCTAAGAGAAGACCATGAAGGGGCACAGAGGCGAGCCAGGCAAGCCAGAGGTGGCTACTGGGCTGGACATGCCTTTGACACGGGCGTCTCCCGGACGGGTCGAGGCAGGTCTGTGTCTCCAGCGAGCCCAGTGCAGTTCCTTGCCCCGCGGTTGAGCACGGAGGCTGGGCTCCGTCGGTCCCTGGGCTCAGGTTCTCTCACCGCTGGCTCCCTGATCCCCTCCTACCCCCAGGGGGCGCCTCCTTCCTCTCCTGCCCAGTAACACCGCTGGGCTCTGCTCAGACCTGTCCCTGTGGTAGTGGCGGCTTCTCCACCCACGATCCCAGCAAAGTGCTGCAGTTAGTCATCGAGCAGCACCGGGCGAAGCCACAGCCTGTGACAATCTAAGGAGCTGCAGTAGCCTTGCTAAGCCAGGCACGCTTGTGTCAGGAGGGCGAGAACTAGGAGGGCCTGCGGCAGTCATGGGTGGGGAGAGACAGCTTTCAGCACAGCTCGCGAAGGAGCTCTTGTCCCTTGGCTGTTAGGATAGCTAAGTGGAGCCTCCATGTTCAGAGGCAAGTCGAGCCACGGAGAACTAGTTCTTGGGGCCACGGCAGAGAGCGAC